AACACCAAGCAAGAGAGAAAAAAACTTTTATTTAATGTGTGTGTGTGTGTGTGTCGTATTCTATAGAGCCGTTATGAAATATGCTGCTAGTTTGATGCAGCATCGTCATTTGTGTATGATTCTCATCATAGATAAAATGTTTTATTTATTACAGCTTAATTCGTAGTTGTTATCTTAGTTTATATGCGATCACCAGTGCTGTATTTCATTGCAGCTTTATGCCTATCGCTCTAAATAACGTCGTTTTCTTTTCTTTTGCTGATTTAACGTATCAAATATTGTTTTTATTGTTTTCTTCATGCATCGTATAGTAAATCCAAAATAAATTTTCACACAATACATTCAAAACTACTCCATACAATTATTAAAACAACTGGCAAATCATGAAATATTGTAATAGGTTCGAGAATCGAACATGTTTGTCTTCTTTTTTCGATTGCTTCAAATAATGAATAAAATCATACAGATCAATCAGTATAACAGTTAAACAAAATTTTTTGTATAAATGGTCTTTCAATTGATTGTATCTCTAAAATATCCTCGAGAGACAACGTTAATTTCATTGTGTTGTCTAAAAAAAAGCGAATCAGATATTCTTATTTCATCAGTATAAAAATGATCGCTACCATTTGATAGTATTCTACTCTAGAAAATGACTTTTTTTCGCATTCTCAAAACAAAAAATTGGACTTCCGCAGAAAAAGAGTAGTTTTGGATTTGTCCTAAGTTAATAATATACTTGTAATTTCGATCTTCAGGAGAGATTGACAAGTTAGAGAACTTTAGATCCTCAGTTAATACAATCAATCTCAATGATAAAGATGTATGTAATTAAACCTGCTGTTTGCATGTCCAGCTCATCATATAATTAAAAATAACAGTCGGTAAAATTATTTGGATGATCTATATTAAAATTTAAGTGTAGCTGGCCAACATATTATACTAATTTAGCTATCAGAACGTTAAGGAATTAACACATTATGAAGTACTAGACATTGAAAAATGAGGTTACCAGTAATTGAAAACAATGTGCATCATTCCATGTTCCATCTTTATTAACACATAGAAACAAATTATTTACAACCAAATATCAAGCGAGTTTGGCTTATGTCTATAGTTTAATGAACCGTTTATTGCCAACATGTGGGTAGTATAAAGTGAAATGAATAAGTGCTGTAAAACGATCCAACATTTTTCCAATTCCACGAACTTAGATGTTCATCAATATTTAATGTCAATTGTTCGAATAATGGTGGTGATCATACATAAAAAAGGAGAGCATCAATAGTACGAACAATTAACTTCTTTTGAAGTAAAATAAAGTATTTGAAGTTGAGACGAGAATAAAATGTCAAGTTGGACATTTGATGAAAGAACACAAGCAAAATCAAGATGTGCATTCATATGAAGTTCATGAAAATGTAGTGAACGTTGAGCAATATGAAGTAAATGCGGAATATTTTCATCAACCATATCACTATATTAATCAAAAAAGAAATTTAAAAAAGTCATTTATATATGATTAGTACGTTCGAGCAGTTCATCGAAGATTTCCATCTGAAAAAAATATTTTTTTTAGAAAAGTCAAATTCTGTTTTTTTTTGTCTTACTTCTTGAATATTATTATCAACCGGTTCATCTTCAATCACCTCGTTGCTTCGAGTAGTGTTGTTACTATCTTCATCTTCGGAATCAGTATATTACTTGTCTCCATTTGATGCGAGAATGTAGTCTGATAGAAAAAGGAATGCTCTATTTTTCTATACTATTTGATCATACTTCGACTAATATCATAATAATAAACTTTTCCTAAGACTTTTTTTTTAATCATATGGGACGGTTATACTAATGTCTATTTAGTGGATACTTTTTGAACAACTATTGATAGAAACAAGGTAGAGAGTTACAATTTTCATTGTTCCAAAGAGGAGATGAAGATGCATCGAATCGTATATTATACGTTTTTCTAATATGTTATCTGAAATTTGTTTAATCAATTTTCTAAGTGCGGGAAAAATGGTTTCTTATCAAAAGAGAAGCAGCAAAAAAACCACTTAGAGTTTCGACTAGAATACTTATAACTTCTGAATAATTAATTCTAAACATATGAACCTTGTGCAGTTTTGTAGACCTTCCATTGACGATTTGAATTAACACTTGACAATTCAGAATTCACTGTAAACACCGCACTGAATAGGCTTGCTTTCAGAGAGATCTATTGAAAACCTGAAAAAAAATCATTTCAAAAATCTGTAATATATGATTCGATGTATCTTCGTATCCTCTTTCGAACAACGAAAACTGCAACTCTTTATCTTGTTTCTATCAAAAGTTATTCAAAAAATATCCACTAAATAGATATTAGTATAACCGTTCCATATGATAAAAAAAATAGATCTTATCGAAATTTTATTATTATGATATTAGTTGAAGCGTGATCAAATAGTATAGAAAAATAAAACATTCTTTTCTCTATCAGACTATATAGAAAGAAAATTTATTACAGCTCTAAATGTTCCACTACAAATATCTATTGTTCAATTAATATCCATTAATCGAATTATCAAATGTTATTTTAGCAATAAGAAATAAATCTTCCAGAAAATTCAACAATTTATGTGATTCTTCCTAATTTTTCATTCATATCAGATAGATTAACTGTTAAAAATTTCGTAAAATAAAACATTAAATCATCAATAATCAGTAATGTATTCATTTCTTGTCAATATACGACATTAATTGCATTCTTAAATACAATTTTTTTTGCAAATTTTTTCTGTTGTAAAATATCTACGTGAAATAAATTTATTTTATAACCAACATCAAAATCATTCCAGATGAACTTCTTCTTGAGATATTTTACTGAAGAGAAGACTGAGACTAGCGTTCAAACCGAAACTTACATCCACTTTCATATATTAATTTTTTTTTTGCGACGTTAGTATTATTCAACTTTTTCGTCATTCGCTATAGTCTTTTTCGATGTTTTTTTTTTCGATATTTTTTTCTTTTATATTTTCTAAACATACCGTGCAAATCAAGCACATGCTTAAGTGCGTTTACCTGTATATTGATTGAGTATACGTTATCGACCAACCAGGTAAACTGTATTCACGTAAATCATGAAATAATTTATATTTCTGTTATCAAAACATAAGGTATGCACGACCTTCATATACTATACCGGCGTTAAGGCAAAATTATATTGACGAAAAAAACACCCACCGTTACATGAAAATGAAATATTCTGTAATTTTATGCATACGGTGTCATTATATTTGTTTATATCGATAAAGAAACTTCAAGCATCCACAGTCCTATGCTTTTGTTACATGTTTCAGATAAAAAGCTTTTATTAGCACATCAAAAGTCTCGATAACGATAAGAAGTGCGTACTGTGAGAGGTAAGTGTAAGCAATAAAAATTGATTCTGACATTTGAGGAGAATTCTATCCGACAGTGTTAACATCGATTATCTTGCATGTTACCTAATAATATATCATAACATGAATCGATAATAGTCTTCTCTTGACTTCTGCTTCTACAATTTTGTTTCACCATTATATCTAGTTCGATTTCGTCTTCATTGCAAGAAGGCATCATAGAGTTCCGAGTACTTGCGACGGATAACAGTTACTATGTGAGATTGTGTGGTGATTTGATCTTAGTCTAATCGATTAGACTAGCTTCACATTAAAGATAAGCAAAATGCAGAGACATATTTTGAACTCTACACTATACATGTGTAGGCTAGTCACCGCTGACAGAGCTACAGAAAAATGGTTGCTCGCTTTTTCTAATTCTTCGCATAAAATATAACAATTTATCGAATTTAGAAGGTTCATGAAAACGATGTGAGTAACTCCATACCTGACAAAAAAGAATATATGTATGAATCTTTTATTCATCCAAACCTTCATACCTATCCACACGCAAATTTAAAATAAAAAACCCAGTAGAATAACTGATAAAAACGCATGTGCTTGGCTTAAATTCGAAGTCGGCATAAAAAAAAGAAAACATATTTAATAACCCGCTTGATGTTGAGAAATTGTTAATACAATATGAGGATTTAAAAAAATGAATGAAAAATGTTGCTCAGCTTTTGTCTATCTGTCTCGGTTAGATAAGATAAATAAATGTCATAAGCTATAAAACTACATGAGTTTCTAAGAGATATTTCAGTATCATGTTAGATAACATACTTTAAATTTGTTTCGAATAATAAATCAATCGAAACTACATAAGAGAAGGTGAAACATTATGACCGAATTGAAACCGTCATTGCATGTCGATTAGATGTCATAATACCACAAAATTAAGAATTCAAATATAATGGTATCTTTCAAGAGTTTTGAAACGAATTTTGCTCGCTATTACTAAGAAAACAGTTCTTCAATGACTGATTTCATGCGTATTTTAGTTTTATGTTTATCCTTATTTTACATTAATATGGCATAGTTTATATTAGTATATAGTTACCAGATAAGATCGTATTTTGTTTTACATTATTCAGATAATGTAGAAATTCCATATTGAAGTGAGTAGTAGATATTATCTCATAGGATTTGATGTCTTACATTAATATGTAAATAAATAATAGTTTGTTAAATAGATTCTTTGCATGTGCATATAAGATCAAATTTATTTACATAAATAATACACAATATGTCAACACGTATTATTTACCTCGGCTTTTGTTTGATTATTATTCTCAATCAACATTTTGGAAAGACGGGTAAATTGTTGTTTTAGAACAATCTTCTATTTAGGAAATAAATCATAATATTCTTTATTTGAGAACGTCGTTGTCGTTGTCTTGCTGGTGATTCTCTTTGTTGGCCTAATGCTTCTGCTTGGCAAATATTTAATAAATCTGTTGACGATCGTCTTGTTTTACCTCGACCATCAGCTGCTGTATGTACTATAGCTGAATTTAATTTGGATGAATGTACTCAGGCTGCTACTTACTGGACGAATTCAACGTGGCGTAGTTATAAATTGGGTGCCATGCAATATTACGATTGGGAAAATACTTCATGTTCTATCAGCAATCCAAACTCTACATGTAATCAGGGATCCGTGCCTATCATTGCTGTTAACGCGACGTGGCCCGAACATGTACAAGCAACTATAAAATATGCTGCAACAAATAATCTTCGCTTAGTTATCAAAACAACAGGACATGATATGATGGGTCGATCAACAACGGCTGGATCTCTTCTTTTATGGCTTCATTACATGAAAAATATTACATTAATTGAAAAATATTCTTCATGTAGTACTGTTAATATATCGAATGCTATTCGTCTTGATGCAGGAGTTCAATGGGATGAAGTCTACAAATGGTTGGCCAAGTATAACTTGACAGTAATAGGTGGAACCTGTGGATCTGTAGGTGCGGCTGGCGGTTATTTGCTTGGAGGTGGCCATAGTCCATTGTCACGCTGGAAAGGTATGGCAGTTGATCAAGTACTCGAATATGATGTTGTCACAGCAGATGGTCAACGTCAAACTGTAAGTCCATGCCAAAATGGCGAATTATTCTGGGCATTAAGTGGTGGAGGTGGTGGCACATTTGCTGTTGTATTATCTGTTGTCCTGCGAACATTTCCAACACCACATATAATTGGTTCAATACAGAGCGTTCGCGCCCTGAGTGAACTTCGTTATTCTAGATTAATTCGAGATTTTGTTCGATTACTACCTAGTTTGGCTGATGCAGGATGGGCTGGCTATTTATCGTTGATAGATACTAATTTGACAATAACGTTTCTTTGGCCTCAAGGAAATCTTGATATTGCAAATGCGACATTTATCAAATTCATGAATGATAACACAGATCTAGTGTTTTCGAGCAGTCTTATTGCTTATGCACCATCATTCTACGATGCATACATGGTTGCGTTTCCACAGTGTGATCCCACTGGATTCAATCTTCTAATAGGCTCACGACTTATTCCTGAAACAATTGTTCGCAACAAACCAGATGATGTCTCACAGATATTTTATCAAATGAAAGGTCAATCTATAAAACCATCAACTCTATTGGTGAATCTTGTCGCTGGTGGACAAGTTTCTAATATATCTAATGTAAACAATAGTCTTAATCCAGCATGGCGCACAGCACTTCTCCATGTGTTCTATGGTCAAGTTTGGTCTGATAGTACATCCAAAGATGATCAACAACTGGTTGCTGCTCAAGTTGCTAATAATGTCCAACTCTTAGATACACTTTCAAATGGTTCTCAATTCGGTTCCTATATGAACGAAGCTGATCCAAATGAACCTAATTGGCAACAGAGATTTTTTGGTTCGCAAGCCATGTATGATCGATTGAAAACTATCAAAGATAAAGTTGATCCACTTGGGTTATTCGTGTGCAAAAATTGTGTTGGCAGTGATGATTGGACATCAGACCTTAACTGTCCGATAATATCGGGTTCTACGACAACATCGGTTACTTCGACAACGTCACATTTGTCGACAACATCAGTTTCCAGAAAACTGGACTTCGCATTCCTATTCATTTTCATGGAAGGTTTTCTGTTGATATATTATAACGTTTTAGAACCATTAGCATGATAAGAATAGCGTCGAATACTTTATTGAATTTAAAAAAAACAATGAATTATTTATTTCATTTTTCTTATCTTTTTATATTTCTTGACTCTTTCGCGACATATAATATTGTCTGACTGTTTCATTATCTTCTTACATAAAGAAATATTCGTCAAAATGAAACATGGTTTTTACGTTTTGAGTGTGCATGAATGTGAGCATATGGTGTGAGTGTGGGTGTGAGGTGGGTGTACGTGTGGGACTGAATCTTCTCGTCACATACTACTACACCCACACCCTAGAGTTATTTGGATGACCTGTATTAAAATTTAAGCATAACTGATCAATATATTATACTAATTTAACTATCAGAACGCTAAGGAATTAACACATTATGAAGTACTAGACATTGTAAAAGTGTTTTAATCTATTTGTGAAAATATTTTGTATTCTTCGTTGCTTTTTTTCTAAATCATTCTTTGTTAGCTATTGGATAAAAACACTTTTTTTTTTATTCCTCTTTTTTTCGATTGTATTTCTCTCTCAGTATCAGTAATTGAAAACAATGTGCATCATTTTATGTTTTATCTTAATCAAGAGGGGGGGGGGGGGGTACGAGTCTCAGTGTGGGTACAAATGTTCTCGTCACCCACACCCCTCTCGAAAAACTTTACAAAAACATAACTAGCATCTATGATGAGACATTTTTTGACCAACCGATTTCATTCAATACTCGTTTGTCTAATATCGAGTATCTTTCAGTGAAATTTCCTCCCAATGATCAGTTTTGGTCTATTGTTACAAATTTAAACCGATTGAAATCACTTGCAATATACCTTCCTACTAATATTTCTCATTCTCAATTCCAAGATGTAGTTGATTGAGCACCCCATCTGCACAAATTAATTATTTATCAAGATGCATCATTACCTTGGCACATATCATTATCTAAATGTACAAATGCATCAATTTATCACCTGTATTTGGAAGATTGTAAACATTATTTCAATGAGGAAGAATGTATTACATTGAGTCATTCTTCAATAGGTGGAATTATTGGTCTTAATTCAATCACTACTTTCAAAACTTTTCAGAAAATGACTCGTAACTTTTTTCAATGATATTTGTTTGGATTGAATTTTACTTTTCGGAATAGAGTGATCAACGCTCTACATTTTAGCCAATTTTTTTCTTAACAATTATTTAGTATTCGATGAGTTATCATGTTTGCAAAAATGCATAGTTGAAATTTTTGTCTGTTCTGTTACTGTCCTAATTTGATCACTTTGTTGAAGCAGTTTCTAGCACTTTGAATATATGATTTACGAAAACTGCAGTTTACATTTGATATTATCATATTATGTCAAGAAGAAACATACAAATGCACATATACAGACGCATAACGATGGCACATGAAAAAGAGGTAGGCCTTCAAAAACGAATAAAATACGAAGAACAATCTAAGAATTTCCTTTTGTCCATTTCATCCAAATTCACACAATGTGCATCCTGTATCGCTGTGCTTGACTAGGTCGGTGCAGCCGGTAGTTGAATTTTAAAATGGCGCTCGATGGCATTTTCAAGGTCGTTTGGACCTTCATGCTGGATTAAAGACAAGTTCGCATTTGTGTTTTTCACGATTTGCACAATTCGTTCATACCATTCACGGTGTTTTTGTACGCCAAGACCAATCATAACACCATCCCAATTTTTGGAAGTCAAAACATGAGCAATTTCGGCATCGCTAGTAGGTGTGTTCGAGACGACATGTGATTCAGCATCAATGCCTCTTGAACACAGACGATCCCTGACTCGACTAGCGGTAGTATGGTCTACGCCAAACGTTACAATCTGTAAAGGTAGTTGGTTCATCCAGATAAATGATGACGATGATCAAGAAGAAAATGAAAATGAGTTTCTTTTTTCTTTCTTTGTTTATATACGACGACGCAAGTGAATGACAAGGCAGTTTTTGTGCATATGAAAGAAAATTGCATATTCATCGTCTCATTCACCATCAAAATGTGTTTGAGGATGGTGTAAGAATAAGAATGAAAAAAACCGACGTCAGTCGCAGTGAGTCATGTTTGCCGTTCTGTCACTGATGTAAACCTTGAATGCTACAAAAAAAAAACAATCACTCGTTCTCTTTTTGCACCTGCTCGCTGATACAAGATCAATTTTTTTAATAAAAAATACTCCTCTTGCTAAAAATTTCGAAAAAATATATGTTGTTTGTTCTTTGCTTTAAAATGGTATTATTTCTTCTTCGTTGAAATACACTATCGTCATTATCTATAGGTTATTTTTGCATACATACTGAGCGTGCCGGATTGTCACACTTTTATTTTGCGTATATGAGTGAATTACATACCTACGGTACAATTACACTATCGATGATAAATTCATCACATCTCTTATTTACGAATACGGATTGATTTGAAAAATTTATCAAATATTCTGGTCACTGTATTCATAACTTTATTACTTAGATTCACAGCCCAACAGCACTTATTTCTGTTCAAGTAAAATATTCAACACGTCCTGTAATATTGATTTAATGAGGGTATCAGTTTACAACGAAATAGTATCCTTTTTAGCGTCTGCCGATCATGATTAGTATTAAAACATTTTTTGTAATATTGTGATTGTGACATCGTGAATGATTTTATGTAAGACTTTTTTAAAGGGAAAATAAATTATACTATATGCATGAAGGGTGTGAGTGTGAGTATGTGTGAATGTGGGTGATGGTGTAGGTTTCTTCTTGTCCCACACCCTCTATCCGAGTTTATTGATAAAGTACTTTGTCGACGAAGTGTCGTGTCGAAAAAAATTTTTCGACGAAGTGCTGTGTCGACGATAATTTTTCGACCAACAACATAATTACCAATGTGAAATATTTTCACCAACCATATCACTATATTAATCAAAAAAGAAATGAAAAAAAATTTCTAATATATGATTATAAAAACTCATTTTTCATCTGGTTAGTCACATTCAATAGTTATTTTTCGCAACTAATGGCAATGAGGTATCACTTGAATACGTTCGAGTAGTTTATCGTCTACATAATTGAGTGTGTCAATAGAAGAAAACAGGATTCACTATCGTGATATTCAAATGAATAATATTATGAAGAAAGAGAATTATTCTCTTCGAGCACAGTAATGTTAATCTTTACATAAATGAAACAAGAAAAAAAAGATGAGCCATTTGATAATATCAAACGAAGAGAGACAAATAATCTTCGGTGTCTTTCTCCTGCCATGCGATTGAAAGGTCTTTTTAAATTATATGCACAGGTGTTTTTCATCAGTCAGTTTTGAAACGAACGTCTGCAGTTGATACATTCATATCGAAGCTTGGGTATGTATCGGTTTGTCAAAGTTCAAACGAGAAAACATGGCTTTCGCCGTGAGATACTAATATTGTATATATGTTTTTTTTCTGAATTATTTGAAGACGTCTTCTCCCTACAAATTTTTTTAATGATAGCTACGTGATAATTTACTCATCTATTTGTTGTTCACTGGTGCAAGAACAATGATTATTATCTGTTTTCCTTTGACTTCAACCAGTGTATTTTTTTCTTTCGTTTTGTAATGTCAAGACATGTGTACTTTGTGAGGTTGGTTAAAGTATAGATATGAAGCAAAATTTTATAGTTGTCTTTTTTTCTATCTTTGATTTGACTTTTCTCAACGAATATATTGTTTGTAACCAAATCATCAAAAGAGACTGTTCATACCATCTCGTTTGCTGTTTCTTAATGAAGAACAGGCTAAGATGCAACTGTTGTGTCATGATACGAACGCCAAACTATAAGCGCAAACACATATAAATTTGCCGAAGTGTCGTGTATGAATGACAAACTAATGCTTTATTTTTTTCACATTTTACGAGCTCGGCTCAAAATGTAATAACATTTTATTGAATGACTGATAATAGTCGTACGAATTATATCGCGAATATGAAAGAGCGGTATACCTTATATATATATTCAAAAAATTGACTGAATATGATACTTGATAATCGTATCAGAATTTGTGCGTCATAGTAAATCCTTCTAGCCGATGGCAATAGTTGCAATGATCATTATTGAGTTGTATTAGCATGTCGTACATACTCGGTTTTTGTTCGCTAGAAAAAGATTGATTAAGTATGAACATTCTCATTGGCATGAGTAATTGACAATGATTAGTTTCAAGGGATATTAACTAGAAACATAATTTGGACTGCTATGAATTTTGAGAAGGAATGATGGAATACACACTAATGGCACACGGTACTATCAATAATATTATAACATTTTAGCCCAATGTAATGCGAAAAAGAGAAATAATAAAGTGGATTTTTTATAGTACTTGATGACGACGAACTGAGTTGCCTAGTCTGCATGAAACAAATAGGCGAGAGTGCAATAGCAACTCGACGTGATCATATATTTTGGTTTTTCAATTTTTTTTGCAATATAGCTGCGCATGGAAATTCGAACATGGTCGCGCTCAATGAGGCCGTCAGTTTTGTGCATAATCTGAAATTCTGATAAATTTGAAAAGCACGGAGGCGCTTTTACTAGGCGTTTTGAACCACACAACGTTTTTCGTCAATCAGTGGTAGATCATATGCAGAAAAAGAACGGAAAATCTTTTGGTATTAAATTCAAGTCATTTCATTGGGACTTTAAGCTTCCTGGATGCTTCTTACAATCATCATTTTCATGTTCATTGCATATTCTTCTTGTACACTATTTACGAAGTAGAAATTTAGATATCTGAATACACTGAATTTATATTAGTTAGAAAGAGCATTCAATTCTGCATGTATCGATAGTTGCTTGCATTTTATTGAAAAAAAAATCTTTCAACGAAATTCAACTCGTATAAGATTTTACAGCAAAATTTTGTAAAAAAATGGAGTTACTGCGAAACTAACTCACTTGCAATGAAGAATTCATAACACGAGTTGTGTCCGAACACGTGACAAAAAAACTATAGTTCTCATATGGACACATGCAGAAATTGAACACGGTTTCTAACTGATATAAATTCAGTATGTTTAGATAGCTAAAGCTCCACTTAGTGGACAGTATACAAGAATATGCAATGAATATCAAGATGATGAACGTAAAAAGAATCTAAGAAGCTTAGAGTCTCGATGAAATGACTTGAATTTATTATCAAAAGATTCTCCTTCGTTTTCTATATAGGATCTGCTATTGATTGACGGAAAACGCTGCGTGGCCCAAAATGCCTAGTAAAAGCGCCTCCGTGCTTTAGAGTATAAATCGACTTCATTATTCGATTGACTTTTTGAATAGGAAATTTTTTTCGTATGTACTTTTTGTATCTCTTCGAAAGATATATTTATTTTGAATAATTTAAATTCATTGACTCAATTCTGGTAGTTAGAGATACACAGTTTTTCGATCCCACGAATTACTTTTTATTTCTCATTCTATATTCAAGTTTCAATTGAAATTACAAAATGACTAGTTTGTCTGTACGCTTCGGCTTAGCACTTCTTCACAGTACACTAATTCTATCAATATTTGGTGTTATTGGCATAAATACTGTTTCCATGTCTGATTTGGAGTCAATAATCACATCTCACGGTGGGCAAGTACTGCGAATTACCGATGTGGGATATCCTAAGGCGGCCACTCTTTGGAATGCGGCGATTCAAGTTTGGCCTAGTCTTATAATACGACCTGCAACATATGATGATGTCGCACTAGCACTTTCTACGCTCTATTCACTCAACGTACCTATCCGTATCATGGGTGGTCGACATAGTTATGGAGGTTATTGTAGCCATCGAGGTGTAGTACTCGATTCTACATTACTAAAAAAGCTAGAAATTGATTGGGAAAGCGAAACGATAACAATGCAAGCAGGTTTGATTTGGAGCGAGGTTTATGCAGCCTTGAATGGTTCAGAGTATGCAATTATTGGTGGATTGTGTCCGACCGTCGGTGTAGTCGGTTATACATCTGCGGGTGGTTATAATTCTTTATATTCTCGCTCGTATGGATTAGGATCGGATAATGTTCTCAGTTTTAAAGTAGCCACATACAATGGTACCATTGTCACTGCATCATCCACTAGCAATCCTGATCTATACTGGGCACTTCGTGGTGGTGGTGGAGGAAATTTTGGCTACGTCTTAGAAATGATACATAAGATTCATCGGATTAATCAAACGAATTTGCCCACTGGTCAACATTCGTTTTTGAGTATCACTTGGTCGAATCGAAACGATTTCCGAGCTGTTCTTCGCAATTGGCTCAAATTCGTAGACGAAGTTGCTAATTTTGATACTCGCATTGGATTTGATGTAATCATCTTCACTAATTCTGAAAACAGTTTTCTCTTAATTTATGGTTCATTCAATGGTCCACATGCAGACCTTGAATCAATATTTCAACCTTGGTTATCCAAAGGTCCAAAGCCAGACATTTATACGGTGAAAAATTTTACTCAATTTGAGGTCATCACTGTAACTGGCACGGCAAACTATCCGTTTCCAGTCAAGGAACGACAACATATTGTTTCTGCTATGGCTATCAATATCACAGAGGCAATGCTCGATGTTCTTCTGGAGTCTCAACCAAATACCACATTTCAAATTTCACAATACATAGGTGTTATTTATCTTCACGATACCAATAAGGACAAAAATACAGCTTGGGCATTTCCAGATATTACTTTTGATATTGCTCCTGGATTTGTCTGGTATACATCTGAAGACGATTCTACGGCCATCAACATAGCCGAAAGCTGGCTAAAGAGACTGATGAATGCCGCAGCACCGACAGAAAGCATTGTTGGAGGCTATCTTAACTATATCGATCCGTATATGGACAATTGGCAACAAATGTACTATCGTGAACATTGGGACCGATTGAGAGAGATCAAAACTGTATGGGATCCGACGTGGTATTTTCGTTTTCCTCAAGGAATTCCACCGAACAATCCGTAATCAAATGTTTCTTCATTGATTGTTCTTTGTTCAATCTTTTCTATCTTGGATCGATTATTCTATTCTTTTCAATAAAATCATCGATTTTCCAGCATATAGAACTATAAATACATTGATTGATATAGAAATCGTACAATGTCAAAGCAAGCAAATACAATATCGACACAAATTGTCAAATTTACGTAATCTCTAATGGATGCTGTTCTAATTCATAAAAAAACTTTTCTTTCTCAACTGTATTTCTACTCGATTAAACACTTCATTCGACTCATTGGTCAAATATTACGTAACATATGAAAATTGATTCATTGCAGTCATGATTTTCGATGATTTTAAGGAGTGGAAGGGGATAAAATCTAGCAGACAGTTAGAGGACAACAGTTTGGCAAAAATCTGCAGACACATAACTGCCTGGCAAAATTTAACAGACGATTTCACATAACGTGGAAAATTTTTTGCAGAAACGACGTAAAAAGTGTCGGCGGCTCGCCTCTTCCTCATCGAGAACCATGATCGCAGTTTGCCAGAAATTTTTTCTTTTCAATATAAATTGATTGATGAGTCATATTCTTAATAATGAGAAATATTTTCATCATCATACGAATGGAAGTATTTTTTTTCTTCGAAGAATAAGAAAAAAAACCTCGGCAAGTAGAAATGAAAAAATGATTTTATTTCAAAGTTTTGTTGTTAGGTAGACATGTGACATGGGACAAATAAAGCCGATGACGATGAGTTTATTTTATATACGAGAAAGAACATAGGGTTTTGCTTCTTTTTCATTTAATATGAACTTAATCTTTTTGTTTGATAAACTGAACTAATTGACACGGATGTGAGTTATTTATACCATAGCTACGCTGTTCTCCATATCCACACCCACACCCGCCTTAAGAAGTTAATAACTATACTAAGATGATTAATTGTATTTCATTCTTTAGGTAGATTGTGTCTGGTAGTATTATCAGCTGGACCAACAAGACTTCAACTTCAATCATTTCGTATGCAATTTTGAAAATGGCAGTAATTCATCATTATTATATTATATTCTACTATTATTCAAAGAACTTTCTTTAATTAGAAGATCGCTTTAGTATTGTTAATCTGTGTTCAATTTGGATTTGGTTTGCTTGCTCTGTTTTTTACAGTACATGATCTTTTCTATTATTATCGAAAAAGTTAAATTAACTAAACTCATACATCTTTAGTCCAGATAATTTCTACACATGATTGTAAAAAAACATTCAGATTAAAATTACTCTGATGTCTATGAATGTTGTTGCGATGATATAAAGTTTGTATTACTGGATATGTCATATCAATGTGTTCGCAATTGCAATAGAGAAATTGTTTGTTATCTTAGGCGAAATGCATGCCACAAAGAAATGATAAACGTACTTTTATCAATATTACATTCAATGATAATGACGACAGAGTGCTTGTGTAATAAACATTCGCTGACATCACTTTAACAATTCTTTCTTTTTCTCTTAAGATTTCATTGTATTCAACAACATAAATGAGACTTATTTCATGGATAAAGCTATATGTTGTTTAATTTTCAAAAAGTTTGAGATCTATTATTGAAGAATTGTTGAGACTTTATTTTAAAACTATTCTCATTTCATAAGAATAGAATTTTTAAAGTTCTATTATTTATACATATCAACAGACAGTGTCGATTCTAAATATTTACATTGTGTATTTTGCTTGAAATGCCTTACGTGTATTTACTTTATTTCTTTAATATAAATTCAACAAAATTATGAGTAGCAAAATGTATGATAAGTCGATTATTTACCTATCTAGTGGTCAAGACAGAATCGCTCTCTAAGACCATTTGCCTATTCATCGATACATATTTCAAACAATACATTTTTATTCACGACAGATGACTATAGACAGATATCAACCTTTAATACACTCTTTTGATGAATTTCATACAAAAGCAAAAAATATTCTTCTTTGAAATAGTACTATTATTGTTTATCTTAGAAGACAGATCACAAGAAAAAAGCTCTTCTTTTTTCTTTTTCATTACTTTTTAAGATATCAAGCGAGTGATGCACGAGGCAGACTTTTTACATAAGTAATAGTGATAAACATAAAGATAACCAATAATGTCATAACAATACTCAACAAAATACAATCAGTCTTCATATATGTAGAGAACTCTTTCGTGTCCTCGAACATTTATTATACATCTTAGAAAATACACACAACTAACGTCAAATCATCTATTCACATATATCATGAGTGAAAAAATTACCAAACCAAATACAACTTTGTCCAAGACCGCCATTACAACCATAACCGTATCGTCTGATACCGAGCGTCATAAACAACGTTGTATTCAGAACCTCTTGCTCATCTAGTTGGACACTACCATTGACCAAGCCAACAAAGATTGCCAGAATACATTGGTCCAATTGCGGAACATCGTTAACAACACGCATATTTTCACCCAACGTGATGAGTGTGTGGATTTTCTCACTGACATCGCAGACAAGAAGGCTATCTTGGTTGTCGAGGATATTCTTGGTGAAGAAATATTGCCCCTCATACATGACATTCCCCAAGTTCACACCATTTACATTCTCTGTCGCAACAAAACCAGATATGAAGAATGGGTCAACGCATGGGTGAAGGTGAAGGGCATACATACTGAAATTACACCCATCTGTGAATCCCTTCAACATATTGTAAGGCAGATCAATCATGATTCCATTGCTGTAAGTTTTATCGCAGTAGATGCAGGAGCTCCAAGAAAAAATCTAGATCAACTGGAACCATCATTCATGTACACCCAGATATTCAAGGAAATACTTTTGAAAATGGATTACAACGAACAGTCAATTAGAAATTTCACCACTTACTGTCGAAATGGTGACTATGGGTCGCCAATCAATATTACTCGATTCGAAAACGGATATCGAGCTGAATCTTCTATCTGATGGTACACCTATCCATCGTGCGTCTATCCAATGCTTAACTACGCTCTTCGTATGATGGAGGCTGACACCATTATTCACATGGACTTCTTTATTTATGATTTACACTGTCAAATCGAACAACTATATCAAAAACAGATCAGTGATTATCATGACCAGCCCTTCATGGTTTACCGTGGGCTGGGACTATCGACCAGTAATTTTGAGAAACTTCGTTGAACTAAAGGTGGACTAATGTCGTTCAACAGCTTTCACTTGGCTTCGCTGTGAGTGCGTTAACAATTGACGACACGATCGAGATTTTCTTTCGAATGTCTATTGATCCTGCCATTTCCTTGACTCCATTTGCTGCCATTCGCGAGAAAAGTTACTATGAGACGGAAGAAGAAATCCTCTTTTCGATGCACACCATCTTTCGTATCGGTGACATAAAACAGATTGACAATAACAGTCCACTTTATCAAGTGGAACTTGAACTTACTTCGGATGATGATCGACAGCTTCGTACACTTACCGAACGCATTCGAGAAGAAACTCTGAGTTCTACTAGATGGAAACGATTGGGTCAACTACTACTTAAAATAGGCCAATTCAAGAAGGCCGAAGAACTGTACAATGCGCTACTCGAACAGACATCTGACAAGAGTGAGAAGGCACTTTATTATAATCAGCTTGGGTATGCCAAGACCGATCAAGGTGATTATGGCAAGGCTATTTGGTATTATGAATAAGTACTTGAAATCGAACAAAAAACTTTTCCTCCACATTGTCCTTCTTTGGCTACGTTCTACAACAACATCGGTGGGGTGTATGAGAAAATGAGACAGTACCCGAAAGCACTTTCATTTTACGAAAAATACCTTGAAATCTGTCAAAAAAATCTTCCTCCAAATCACCCTGATCTGGCAACTTCCTACAACAACATCGCTTTTATATATAAAAATATTAGATAGTACTTAAAAGCACTATCATATTTTGAACGTGCACTTAATATTTTTCAACACTCTTTACCTTCTAACCATCCTCATATTCAGCAGGTGCGAGAAAGTATTGAAATTATAAAAAAGAAATTGTAAACTGATGAAATTGTAAACTGATATGTAATAAATAAAAAAAGAATGTGATTACTGATTTGAAATTGCTCTAGTTTTAGTCATTGCTACACTGAAAAGAAATAGTACCATATGAAACTTGAGGGTGTGGGTGTAACTCTGTCCTTAATACACTTTCATACCCATACCC